GCAGGAGCTGAGGGGCAAGAGAAGAAGGGAGTTGAGTGGGGAGGCATGTGAGAGTAAGACCAAAATGCACCCCTAGGCTGACTTCTGTCCCGCAACTTGATTGACTCCAGACATTTATTCCAAATCTATGCCTTTCCTCTCAGGGCTTCTAAACCTAGACTTGCTAGAGAGAGGAGGAGAAATCAGATCTGGATTTCTCACTATTATGCTACACTGACCCATGTGCTTGCAATCAAGCCTACAGGGGACAGGATGAGGTGTATTCGTGTATCTATCTATCTTCATTAAGATGCAGAGTTTTGCTCCATTTTTAAGGAAGACAAGTATGAGGGTATGCTTTCTACCCTATGCACTTTCTATCCCTATGCCCCTGGATCGTTGGCATGCTGATGGCTCCCAGATATTTATCTGCATCCCTTACCCTTCTCCTGAACTCTAACCTCATCTCTTTGCAACTTCCTGATTGACAGTTGACTTGACTTTATCCTGCCATCCCTCAAAATCAGCCTCCTCACCCTCCCCTCCAAAGGTGATTCTTCTGGCCCTCCCCAGGGCCCTCTAGGGCATTGCCATCCTCTCAAATGCTCAGGGTCAAGACCTCAGCACCATGTCTCCTTCCTCCCACTCATTCCCTTCACCAAACCCTGCAAATTCTTGGGTACTTCGTTAATGATGCCTCTTGAGTGCTTGCTCCTTCTTCATTACCATTGCCACTGTGTGGTTCCAAGCTTTTCACCAAAAGCATGCACTGCAACAAAGAGACTCCCCAGCAGCACTTCCTGCTGCCAGATCCATTCCCACCCAATCTCTTCTCAACACAAAGTTTGCTTTCCTAAAATGCTGCCTCCATTCTGTCATTTCCTGGTCACAACTCTTCAGGGCATGTCTCTGCTCTTAGCCCTGTCCTTTCACAATCTACCTCATTTTCTTGGCTTGGAAAGTCATGAGGATGTTGTAGAAAGAGCTTCAGTTTGATATCATATAGACCTGGAACAAAGAACTAGTAAGGCTTGGTCCTTACTAGCTCTGTAACCTTGGGGAAATTGTTTTAACATTTCTAGGCCTTGGCTTCCTTATCTGTAAAATGGGAATAATATCTACTTCATAGGGTGGTGTGAAGGTTAAATGACAATATGAATCTAGATATACACCCACAATGTATATTCACTCCTTTCCTCCATTTTCTACCAGTTTTTTACACAAACCGTTTACTATGGCCAAACTGAGAAAAATAAAACGATATTCCCATCGGAGCCTGTTTTCTTATCTATTCCCTGAAGGGTTTTGGATTGAACTAAATTTCTCAGGCTCCTTCCAGGCCTGACATGCTAGGAGACGTTGTATCATAGTGGTTAAGAGCTCATTTCTGGACTCAGAACTCGGTTCTAGTTAGATTTTTATCAGTTAAACTTGTTTGACCTTAGGCAAATGAATCTCTCAAAGCCTATTTCTCATAGGTGAAATCGGAATATAGTATTTGTCTCGTAGAATTGTTGTGTTACATGAGATAATGATTGTAAAATGCTTAGTAAAGAGCCTGGTACATAGCACACTCTCACTGTATCAGAAGTCTTCCCCAATCCAGTTTGAATTCTTAGTAAACCTTACATGTTGACTGTAGCCTCTTTATGAACTCTGATGGTATTTTTTACACCATTAATTTGATTTTTAAAAATAATTTCTGCTGCCTTTTCTTATAAATTAACTTCACATGTCTATATGATCCCTCATCAAGAAGAGAACAAATCGCTTTATTCTCTCTCTTCCCTCAGGGTCTTACCAGGTTTTTTCCCTAAAAGCCAGAGATCAACAAATGACTGACTGAAGGTTTCTATTTCCGCTTCCCTCCCCAGGTCAATGGGATGCCACCTACTAAAATCCAAATCCTCCGGGAGAAACTACTACACTAAACAGAACGGGAACCCCAGAGTCAAGATCCATGAGAAGAATATCTCTTACACAACTTTTCCTACCCAGTTTAGCAAAACACCTGTTTTGAGCAACAATACATCACAAAAGGCCACCCCCAAAACCCTGGTGTGCGTCTGACTCAGTACAGAGTAGGGGTCTGGACATGGGTGGAGACTGAGACGCCAGGCCACTCCAAGTTCTCTCCAGAAGAGGGGAGACCAAATGGTAACCAGTTCTTCCATTGATCGTCCCCATCCCTACTGGAATGACTAGACTTTTCCCAGTGATCCCATGAGAAGCCAGACTTGCCCTGAAGGACTCAGAATCCAGATGTGACTAGATATCATCTTGGTTTAGAAAGAATGAAGGATTATTAATCCTATAGGCACAGGGTAATGGTAATAACACCTTATGCCTATATAGCCCACCCCCTCACCACCACACCCCCAAAGTTTCCCAATCATCCCATCTTATCATTATCTTTGATCCAGTCAGTTGGGCATGACAGGTACTTTCTCCATCACTGCCCACCTTTTACAGGGAGCTGAAGTGATTTGCCCAAGGTTCCATGACTGGGACCTCTGACTCAATTCTTCCATTAGAGTGGACTCTATTGTCCACTACTCTTTCCATCAAAACAGAGCTTCCAAAATGACTGTCATTCTTGCACTGTCTTCGTAATTTTGACCTTTACCTACCATCTGCCCTATTAGTGTTTTTATTGACATAGAGTCTTAAGTACGTTTACTTAGAAAGGAATATTTTAATCACTATCATAAAATGGAAGACCAGAATCACTTGCCATAAATAGAAAGTGACCGTAAAAATAAATACAATAAAAACAAAGTGATGTTATCAAATCCTAGATTTCCCTTCCCTGCCCAAGGCTCAGATCCTGAGGCTCCCTTTCCCTCTGTTAAAAACAAAGTTAACAACCATTACAGAGACACTAAAGACTAGCACCAAAATGAAAACTTTCTCTTTGATGCAATCAGAATCAAAAGGGAGTTGAAAAGGGAATAATTTTCTCATTTCTGACTCAATATTATTTAAAGCAGTGTCCACATGCCTGTTAAAATGTTCTCAAATACCCACAGTGATGCCTGACCCCACCGCTTTGGGAAAATTGCACCATACCATAATGAGTGCCTGGTTTTTAAGTCCTTTGAGAAGAGAAGCTGAAACAAGAACATGAAAGAGATTCCATCTGAATAAAGAAAAATGACGTCAGGTTTTTGTAAGTATGTGTCTCCTCAAGAGATATAAAAGAATTTTGTAAAAATTTTAATCCAATAAGTGAAGATTGAGAACACTAGAGGCCAGGGCATCTCTTTTCCTAAAGAGAATTAAGTTCAGGCCAAAGATGTGGACTAGAATATATTCTTGAGAGAGGTAGGACCTTGGAGGTCATTTAATGCAGAATCTCTTCCTCAGCGTTTCATAAATACATATACACACTCAGATGCACGGGCATGCATGTGCATAGGGACAGACACACACACTCTCTCTCTCTCTCTCTCTCTCTCTCTCTCATGCCCTGTTCCCCACAAGTGGCTATCCGTCCTCCACTTGGTGCTCAGCCGTGGGGCCTCAGCTGACAGCCTCTTCCATTGCTGACATCACTCCTGTCGCTGAAGTGAATGGCTTATTCTCAGACTGTGCTGTGCAGATTGTCACCCCCACAAAACCTCACTCACTTTCCTGGGTGGTCTGTCCAGCAGGGCCTCCAGCTTGAGGGTAGAGAAGGCAGAGCAGGGGCAGAGCGTGCTCTGTTACCCTTGGAATTTCATTCTAGAGCTGTGCTGTCCCATAGAACTTTCTGTGCTGATGGAAATGGTCTATAATGTTTAATGTCCAGTACAGTAACCATGGGCCACAAGGGACTATTGGGCATTTGATATGTGGTTAGTGTCAGTAAGGAATCTAATTATTCATTTTATTTCATTTTAATTACATTTAAATAGCCACCTGTGGTTGGTGGCTACTTATTGAAGAGCACAGCTCTGGAGTATTTGAGGATAAAGAGAGCTCTTGAAGGACAACTTCTGGAGCAGTACCTGTCCCAGATAGGAGTAAACAAACATGCCCCCACTCCCCCCTACCCTGCTTTGTCTCACCATCATCATTCCATCCCCTGCCCTTCAAAAGGAAAAGAATTTGGAGGAATGAGCCCATCCCCCATTCCAAATATCCCCTTCTTCACCCCCTTTCTCCCACGTTTCTCTCTTTCCCTACATCTCAAGGCTTCCCAGGAGGAGCCTAGAGATTTCTCTGCAGGGAGACAACATTGAGAAGATTTTGAACTTACTGCCAAGAAGCAGCAAGCAAACATGCCCAAGAGCATGTGTAAAGGGACAAGCAGAATGTGAAAGACAGCATTTCCACTGTGTTTGCTGCTATGCAAAAAAATAGATATGTAATTAAGGAATTAATGTCTATTTTCTTACATTAAGGAACTATTGTAAATTTTCTTAGGTGTGATAATGGTGATGTCATTATATAAGAAAGTTGCTTAATTTTTGGAGATACATGCTATAGGACTTAGGGGTGACGTGCTGTGTTGTACTATCAGTGTGTGTGTATGTGTGCATGTGTGTGGGGACATGAGCACCCAGACACCAAGATAGATACATATATATATACATGCATATGTAAATACATATATACATAGATGCATGAATTAGATAGACTGGATACATACATATATAGTTATATAGACACATAGGTAGATACATTAGATAGATGATAGCTAGATAGATACATACATGCACAGTTACACAGATAAATAGATAAGATAGGTAGATGATAGATCTATATATAACTGTATATAATTATTAAATATAGGGGTGGGAGTATGAGTGCTCATGGGAAAAATGGACAACAGGAACTACTGCTAATTAAAAAAAATCTTTTTATTACTGCCAAGTGGAGGCCTTTTAAGGCCAATATAGGAAGGTGAGCATGGCTTCTCTGGTGCCTCCAATCAGGTGATGCATAGGAGGGGCAGCAAGGCAGAACCAGGCAAGGTCCACAGAGGAGGAAGAGACACAGGAAGGAGAAGGAGCAATGACCTGCTTGGGCAGGAAGTATTAGATCCTCCCCACCCCATCTCCTTTCCACTCTGGCTCTCCTCCCTCATTCCAGGCCTTGCAGTAGTGGGGCGCCAGGCCAGAGCAAGGCCTGAGGGGCACCAAGACTGGCGATGGGGGCAGTGGCGGGAAGGGCAAGGATGACAAAGCAGTACTGAATCCAGGGAGCTCGGCTATGGGGGGCAGGTAGCCTGCAGGGACGAAGAGAGGGTGAGTTTGTTGCTGCCACCCCACCCCTCAAAGTCACTGATGAGGAGAGGGGCAGACATTGGTTCTCTACCCTGGATATATACACTCGAATCCCAATCCCACCCCCTTTTCCTGCTACACTGTCAATGGTACTATAGACTCAGGGGGCACTAGTCTCCCCAACTTTGTGGGCCATGCAAGGAATAAGGAAAGCTGTATCAAGGTTCCTTTGATGACCCCGACTGGAGATCCATGCCCTCCTGTGGGTCAAGGAGTCAGTTAGCCCTCCCCACACCCTGCAGGAAGGAGGCCTGGCCTTACCCCAGCAGGCTTGGGGTGGGGTGTCACTCAGATGCCTGTCTGGTGCTGTCCCCCAGCACAGCTGACAGCAGGAGGGACCCAAGGACTCCAAGGCAGGCAGGGCTGCTGTGGGTGCACTGCCAGGGGACTGCTAGAAAAAGCAAGAGGAGACCCCCCAGCTGCCAGTGATGCTTCCTGTTTAGCAGGACTGGGATCCCAGGGCTGCCTACCCCCCAGGCTATATCCTCTATAACTCCAGAGGGCACCATTCATATCGTAGACTATGACGATGGCGCTTTCTGGAAGTGTTCACTGTGGGGGCCTGGGGGAGTCATGAATTCTAGCTCAGCCTTCACTGGGAATGGGAGAAGCAGTGAGCCCTTCAGCCTTCCCAGCTCACAAACTCCCCTTTCTTCCTGGATACCTGTGCAGAGACGATCCCTGAGAAAGCACTCGGTACAGTCAGACCCGGGGAAGCACCTACAAGGTGAGGGTGGATCCACTCAGGGGGAAGAACCAGGGTCCAGGAAGTGGGGAGTGGCAGTGAGAGGCACGGGGGTTCTAGGAAGGGCAGCAGCTTCTGGAGGGGGTGGGGGAAGATGGATGTTACAACCCTAAATTGCCCTCCTCCCCAAGGCAGGGCCTTGGGAGACTGGGGAAAAGGGATTAAATCCCAGGGATGGTAAACTGGGGACAGTGCAGCCCTTATGAGCAGGGACTGTGTGTGCCCAGCATCTAATACAGGGCCTGGCACACAGCAGGTGCCAAGCAAATGTTTGGTGGGTGGATGGATATGTAGGTGGATGGGTAGGTGGATAAGTGGGTGGGTAGGTGGGTGGATGGGTGGGTAGATGGATGCACAGAGAAATCACCTGGGAGCTGCATATCCCACTTGAGCTTCTCTTGTCGGCGCCATTTGGCTCTTCGGTTGGAAAACCAGACCTGAGGGAGGGCAGAAGCAACATAGCTGGCTGTGCTCTCTGCCGCCTGGCACCTACTGCTCTCACCACGTGTTCCTGGCCTGGACTCAGAGAGCAGACCCTTCCTCGGACCTGACGTCCTGCCTCCCTGCTCTGGCCTTTGCTCTCTGTCCTCTTCCTCAACTCAAAGACTTGGAGTGAGGAGGAGAGAAGAGCAATCAGCAAAAGGGGAAGAAGGAGCTTCTTATCTCTGATTTCTGCTCCAAACAAATCTGTTTCCACTTCTTACCCCCTTCTCCAGCTCACCAGAAGCCCTGGTGGCGCAGATTCTTTCTCCTTGTGGTTTGTCCATACCATGTGGCAGAGCTCACTCACCCTCACCGTGTCCTCAGGCAAAGAGGTGGCAGCAGCCAGCTTCCCACGGGCCACTGCATCAGGATACTGCCCACGCTGGAACTCTGCAGAGATTGAGGCTCACATAGCAAGGGCATGGGGAAAAGAGCGAGGCATGGCTCTCCCTCTCAGACCCCACTTCCCACCTGATACAACCCTAAACAACCCTCCTGCCTGAGGCAGGGCCACCCACAGCCTCCACCCCTCAGCCTTTGTCCACAGCCCTCAGGGTGCTGCCTCCATGTGTCATACTGAGCACCCTCTGACCCACTGTCCGCCCCAGCCCTGGCACCTTTCTCTAGAGCCTCGGCTTGGCCTGGGGAGAAGATAGTCCGATTCCGGTGGCCAGTCCCTGGGTGAGGACCCCGGGGAGCCTCAGAGCCACCACAGGGAGTGCGAGGAACTGGAGCCAAAACAGCTGCAAAGGGGACAAAGGCTTGTGATGGTGATTCCTCTGGTAAGACGGGGTCCCTCAGTCCCTGGGGCTGTGGACTGGGGACAGCATGGGTGTAAGAGCAGAGCTGAGCTGGTGGCGCTGGCGGAGCATTCACAGTTCCTTGGAGGTCGCTGCAGGGGCACTTGGTGGGAAGCGTGCTAACTGCCGTGGTGGGGTGCATGCTTAGTGTTTTAGGGGAAGCAGCAGCAAGGCTGGTCCAGGTTTGCATGACCCCATAGAGCATGAAGGATGTTCTGAAAAGCTGTGCATGAGGCAGAGGGAGGGTGTGGAAGACCCAGTCCTGCCTCTTCCTCCACAGATTCTGTGAACCTAGGGGCTAGGGGACCTGGGTTCTGCACCAGCCAACAACTAGCTGGTGACCTTGGGTAAGTCACCAGCTCACTGAGCCTCAACTTTCTTCTGCCAGGAGAAAACAAGACTCCCTGACAGGCCTTCCTTATTGTCTTGTTGTGAGGATGATCGAAGAAAGAACTAGAAAGGGCTTTGAGAACTGTAAAATGCTTAGGTTTGGCTCTGATTATCCCTGGGGGCAGCTCCAAGACCCACCTGGTGACCTGAGCTGTGCCCAGGGCAGTCTCTGGTCCTCTTGTAGCGCCCGCAGGACCCGATTAATGGAGGAAACCTGGGGGTGTCGGAGTGTTGAATGGGAAGATGGTGCACAGACCCAGGGGCGCATCCTGAGGATATTTCCCCAATATCCTTTCTCTCCTGTCCCCTCCCACACACGTTCCCAAGGCAGCCTCTTCTCTGTCCCCATGCTTTCTTCTTCTCACCTATCCCACCACCACCACTTTTCAGAAGAGGAACTTATGGGTCAGAAGAGAGCCCGAGAGCCCAAGAGCCCTGCCCCCCAGCCTGGGATCTTCTCCCCAGACAGCCTGTTTGCCAGTCCTGGTGTGGGGAGGGGAGAGCACTTACACTGGGAGTCTTCTCTTGGGTGCAAAGCCCTTCGGCACAAAGCTGGCGTTGGATCTCCCAGGCAAAGAGGGCAGGGCACTCACCCTTCAGCTCGGCGATTCGAGCCACCACAGGGGGTGTGGCCAGACGTGGCTTGCTTCCCCCAATCCCCCTGGGCTCCAAGACACCTGTGCGGTAGTAACGCCCTAGGATCTTGCTCACACAGCCATTAGATACCTGGGTCAGGTGAGAAGCAGAGACAGGTAAGGCATGATGGGCAGAGAGTGAGTGTCCGTGGGATAGAAGGAGGCTGCAAGGCGAAGTGAGACTTACTGGACCAGGCCACAGAGTCAAGAGTCCAGCCTCACTTTTGGGAGCATAAAGCTCCCCATCCCAGCCCCCTCTAAGAAGTAGCTCAAGTCCAAAGGCCCTCAAAGTCTGCAACAGCCCCAGTCTCTTGCCTTAAGAGGGGCCCCTTCTTCCTGCTTCTTGTCCCCCTCACTGGGCAAAGTTCCCAGAATACTACCTTAAGGCTCCGTGAGATGTCGCAGGGCCGCATCCCGCTGGCTGCTAGCTGCACGATCTGCTGCCGGGTGTCCAGGGGCAGGGGCCGACCATTCACAAAGAGTCCTCCCAGCTGATTCACACCGCTGATCCCTGGGCATGAGAAGGAGGCATCCACATACCAAGTCTCCCCTTTCCCTGGCCCACCTGTGGCACAGAGGACCCTCCTGAGAGAGGGTTACTCAGGCCCCTCCAGCCTGGCTTCCCACCATAGAGAAAGTCCTCCTCCAGGCAACTGCTCCCCTTATGCTCCCAGGGTCCCCAAAACATGCCACTTTCTCTGGGAGCTGGTTCATGGGTGAATCTTTGCTCCATGGCCATAATGGCCATATGTGCTGACCCTCATGATCTAAGGGAAACAGAGTGGAGCAGGGAGGGAGTGACTGGACAAAGCTCCCCCAGAACACTGGCCAAGGGCAGATGAAACCATGTGGATAGAAGTGGGGCCCTGAGATATTCCCTTCCTTTACAGAATCCCATTCTTCCCACTTCCCCCATTCATCTTACCATCCTGCGGCATGCTCCGGGCTGAGCCTTCTTACAGAAGGGCAGAAACTGGGAAGACTGGGGAGGGGAGTTCCTCCTGGGAGCTCCTTCTCTGGTCTTGGAGCTGGGCCTGCAATAATCAGGGGTTATTTGGGTGAAATCTCCTGCTTGGAATGGTCTTGGGATGTCGTGTTTTGTGATAGAGGGTCAAGTTTCTAAAGTTTGCCAGTAGGTTGGCTGAGAAAATTCAGATGATCTTTACTTAAGCCCTCCTGTGACAAACTAAAACATCACAGGGCCAGCAGAAAACTAGATCTTTCTGGATGTCCTGATAAGGGCCTGGGAGGGTGGCAGGCCTCTCATTTCTCACACATCCATTACAAGAGGTCAGGGAGGTGGAAAAGGATGATGCCTCTAGATGCTCTGGCTTTCCCTTTTCCAAATGGACAACTGTTGTCTCTGACCCCTCAAAAGCCTTCTCAGCCCTTGGTGATGCACATGGGCCAGGGCTCCTGCCTCCTAAGCTCAGACTCAGTAGGGTCTTAGGATATTCTTCGGAGCCAAGGGAGGCATCGGTGACCAAGAATCCCAATTGCCCTGGTTCAAGGCTGGAGACCTCGAGGTCCCCGAGTTAAAGGCTCTGCCTTCACTATCATCAGGCAGCCCCTGAGGTTAGGTTCTCCAAACCACCAGCTAGAAAGCTTCCTTCAGAGCACTGCAGGGGAGAGTCTTGCTCCTATTTTTTATACTCTCCAGGAAGCTCTGGGGAAACACAGGGGCTCAGTCCTACCCCCAGGCATTGAGGCTCCAGACCCATACACTGGAAGTAGAGATTAACAAGCCTGAAGTCCCGGCTTCTCCTAGAAGACACATCTCTTGGCAGCTTCAAACCTGCTGGGTTTGTTGGTTCCAGTTAATTCTGGAGAGTTCTAGATCTCAAAGTAAAGCTTCACTCTCAGAGACTAGTTCCCTGGGATCAGACACTCACTCATTCAACTATTTATCGAAGGCATGTTGAAGGGAGGGAGCAGGAAGCAGGAAAGAGCTGTGTGCTGACTGACACAGAAGCCATTGTGAGCACAAGAGAGTCTGTGAGCAGCAAGGAACACAGGTCATGGGCCACCATGTCTTTCTCGCTTTGATCAGCAAGTAATGAGAGTTGAAGCCATCTCCTTTCATGCCTGGATTCCTGGCAGGGCTGGAGGTCACCCCAGAGAATAGCTTATGCATAGAACTTTCCTGTAATAACCATGCCATCTTGGCTCAGTTAACTAATCTGCAATTATTTACTGAATAAGGTATTAATCATGAGCACGTTGCTGGTAGTTTGGGATGAAAGGAGTAAAAAGAAAAGGGACAAGGTTTTTGCCCTCCAAGAGATTACAGTGCAACCAGGGAGAGGAGACTAGTACAGGTGAAACAACAATGGACTCACAAAGAATATGGGATCTGGAGCTACTTTTTAAATTCCGCAGCCAGCTTGGCTTTTACTCACTCCTCTCTAGGCAGTTAGAGACACATTCCCCTTCAATGCTCATCTTTCCAGAAAGTCAAGAAGGAAGGCAGAGGTTTTTCCAAAAAGAAAACTGAGGCACAAATTGGGGTTCCCACAAATCAGGGGCCACCCAGGGAGTAAAACTCAAGGAGATTTAGAGGCCAGTCCCTCACCAGAAGCTGAAATGTCCAGCTCCTAACTCCGGGGCTCTCTTTCTCTGCCCCCACCCCTGCTTCATGTTTGTGTACTTGCCACCAAAGCAATGGAGAGAGGAGAGTGAAGCTAGGAATGTAAAGGGCTCTGCCCAGACGGTGGGGTGGGAGCTCGGAATATCAGCCAAACTCTGAATCTTTGATAGGACTGTGTCCCTCTAAGTGACCAGAGCTCAGAGGAGCTGTGAGGACTCAAATCCAAATCATGTCCAACCCAAAAATCATCATGCCCCAACTCACAAACGGAAACCCCATTCCCAATAGCCACACCACACATTCCCAACATTCATATTAACTTGTCTGATAAAAGAACTTGTGCTCACAAAATGGAAAAGCAGGATAGGGGGTTGAAGGGGCAGGAGGATGGGTAGATGCAAAGACAGAGGAGGAGAGAAGTTGGCTTGGCCACACAAAGACATGGAGACAGCATGGGAGGCAGAGCAGACAATGAGCCTGCAGGAAAGCTACCTGTGTGGAGGCAATGAGGTGGGAGCTTCAGTGGAGGGTCCCAGTCTCCTATGCCGGGCTCCTGAGACCTCTGCAGGCTCCAGGGGTAGTGGTGCTCTGGTCCTAGCAACAGCCTCTACTCTCTCCTGCTTCAGTCCTGCCAGGGGGTCCAGAGCTACAGAAATCCCGTGCTCAGGAGCAGAGGGCAGCCTTCTGGGAGCAGCCAGTGATGTCACAGGCCATGAGCAGAGGAGAGAGGAGGAGGGAGGTGTGCATGAGGCTGACTAACACCAGTCCTGAAGCAGGGCAAACCACAGCCAATGACCCACTGTGTCCTTCCATGGGAAGTCCTCAGAGCCCACTTTGTGTCTACCTGCCACCCTGAAGCAGGCACAGAGCCACTCTCATGCAGGCCCCCTGGACCCTGAGTGTACCTACTCAGGGGCCAGTACTCCTGAAGGGAATGGGGAGTATGGAAGATGGGGAATATCAGACTGTGTCTCTAAGGCTTTGAATACACAGAAGCCCAAAGGTGACTTCCAGAACCACAGACACATCTTCCCAGCCAGAATGGACATGCCTGTGTTTTGGGGTCAACTCCTGGGTTCCATGTGTATTACTATAAAAGATAAATGGTTATATAGACTGATACCAAATACTGGCCAGGTTGGCTTCTAGATCTCTGAGAGAATGAGGGTGCACATAGAAGAGTATGTGTCATGTAGCACCAGTTCTCTCCGCAGAGTGTCCTCACCAATTCTCCAGTTGGCTCCTTGACTGAGGTGACACCAAGGGTGAGTTTTTGCCTGGAAATAGGGGGATCCTGGACCTCAGAACACTGGCAACAGTGGTGGTGGTGGGAATGAACCTCTGAGAGTAGTTGGGATGCAGGTGAGGTGTTTATGAGGAGGTGTGCAGCCTGGTTTTCATCCTTCCATCTCTAGATGTTATCAGGCTCCATTACACTAGGGATTTGGTGCTTTTAGACTCTAAGTTATGAATGACACTCCTGTACCCACAGGGGACACCACAGGTTATCTGGATCATTGTTGGGGTGGGAGGCACCAGTAGCTGGACAGTTGGTTCTTGTGGACTGGAATGCTGGAAGTGAAGCATAGCCCCCAGCACATGGAAGCTTTGTTGCCACCACGGTCTTGGGCAGACCTATTGCGAAGGAGCCAATGTGGAAAGCCCTTTGGGTCCACTCCATACCTTGGATTCTGTGAAAGCCTCTCAGAAGACAGGCTGAAAGTAAGCAGGGTGTGGGGCAATGAAACTAGTCCCAGAGAGGGGAAGAATGGATTTCATTGGTAAATGTTTTGGTTTGGGGGGGAATGGAGGTGAGTGTTGTATATTCAGCTTGATCCTTGGGTCGGGAACTCTTGTTCTCAAAGCAGAGCCAAATGCATCACAGAAGTGGGTTTTTTACCTTACCCCTCAGTGTATTCCCCTCCTCTTGCAGCCTCCTCCAACATCCTCAGGCTGGCCCAGAGCCCTGGGGCACGAGGGAGACCACAGCAGGTGGATTCAGCACCATGGGCAGGACAGCACATGCCCTAGTGCCTGTAGAGACCATTCAATCCCAGGGCAGCTGGGACTGCTGGTCACTCTCCTCAGCCGTGCCTGGGTGAGAGGAGGTCCCTAGGAAGGCATGTGGTAGCCCTGCTCCTAGTCCTCCTTCCCTGCCTCATCCCTTCTCCCCAGATCTGCCCCTGCATCTGGGGGCGCAAGGCTCCATGTCCTGACCTGCTATTCCCATAGACAGCTGCATGAGGGTGGAGATAGGGGTGTCAGGGGGAGAAGGGACAAGCCCTGGCAGATGGTGGTGGCAGCGATTTCCCCCATAAACTACCCTCTCCCCCCCCCTTTACGACGCGCTCTTGGGTCTGAACAAACAGAGGCTTTCGACCCAGAGGTGATGGGAGGAGGGAAAAGAGAGAAAGGGCCCTGGCAGGGGGGCCCAGCCAGCCCAAAGGCTCAGCCACTCAGCCCTCTGCCCAGCGCGCCAGACTGTTTGAGGAGCAAATATCTGCCTTCACTGTCTAACTCTTTCAACTGCCCCCACCAGGTTTGGGGCTAATTGTCCCTCATTAGCTGGGCCCAGGCCCCAGGCTGCCGCCAGCCCCCGCCATCTGCTCACAATTATACATTAACTCAGAGGTCTTGCCACCCGCCAGCCAGGCTGTGCGCCCCTCTCCAGGCCGGCCATGGCCATTTCAGCCTGTCCCTCGCCCTGATGTAGAGCCCTGACCTCTGGCTTCTTCTCCCCTTGGGAGCCCCTAGAATAAAGCTCCGTGGCTGTGGGAAAAGATCTGTCCTCAGGAGAGGCGGCTGGAGTTCCCCTGCCCTCTTCATGGGGCCAGAAGACAAGAGGAGCCCGTGCGTAAAGCTGGAGAGGGCAGGGCGCAGCCAGCGCAGGGACCCGGCGGCGGCTTTGGTCTGACACCTCACCTCGGGCTTTTGGCACTCATTGGGGGAGGTGACACCAGTTCCAGGCTGTTTCCGCCTCTCCCTGTAGCACCTTTTAGTAGGCTGCGGGGTTCTGGCTCCCATCTTCCCTCTCTCCAGAGAACCCCCATCTCATGCCAGCCCTTAGCTTTCCAGAGCGCACCACACCACCTCTCCAAAACCACTTTCTGGCAGCACATGCCTCCTAGTTTAAAGTCATA